GCTGTAAACACGACTACGCCCGTCAACGGAAGAGGTTGGATAAGGTTTTCAAAGGTTTGTTGGCGTTATTTTTAATATTTTACCCCACATTTTCCCTCTACTTCAAAGCCCAGGCCACTTTGAACAACTAATATTGTTGGTAATTTTAACGATTAGTATACACAAAAAAATTATTTTCCGACGGAAATGCTATTGAATAATTTTTTTTTCGTTTTTTTTTCTTCTCATTCTCCCCGTATAAGACTCAATATATAAGTAAGTGTTGGCAACTACCAAATATTTACCAAAACAGCACTGCAATAGTTTCTTAAAAATATTGTTCAGGACAATATGACATATATTGATATTGAAACAGTTTATTTAGCCAGAAGAACACAGATACAGAGTCGATTAAAAATCCTTATATTAACATGGCTGAGCCAGTTGAGAGCCTGAGCTCTCTTTTAGGCACCTGATATATACTGTACATTTATCTCAAGGAAGTATTATTTAACATTTAGTATCATCTGGAATAGTACACGTAACATGGTTATATATATATATATATATATATATATATATATATATATATATATATATATATATATATATATATATATATATATATATATATATAATATAATATAATATAATATAATATAATATAATATAATATAATATAATATAATATAATATAATATAATATAATATAATCAACGACCTCATCAGCCAGGAATCGAACCCTCGACCTACTGGGTGGGACTAGGGAACGCTACCGACCAACCCACAAGGACACTAAAAACAGTCCTAGACTCTGTTATATTTCACACAAAGCCCGTTCATCGAGCTGATGGCGCCGTGAACCTCATTGGGAACTGCCCGTGCCTCGTATGTGGTGTCAGTAGCATTTTACCGAATCCAGCTGGTATGAAACACGAGGTACCATATATATATATACTTCAGTTTTAGTCCATATAACACGCGGGCACAACAACAGGTATTAATATCCTCGAATTTTAGCATTTGCAATTTAGCAAATTGTTCGTTTGTGTGAACAGTTTTCTTCAAGTATGTCACTCTCCGTATGTTTTTGGGAAATGATAGAGGACCAGGCAACAGTGCCCAAACAACAGGGGTTGTATTGTTCGTTTTGACATTCATCTGACCCCACTTTTCAGTTACTTCTTTGAGCGACTGTACACTATATCCGCTTCACCACTGATCGGCATGTTATCCGTGTGAGTGGTCAGTTACGCGTCTGTTGCTCACAGTTGGTAAGTACTGGGTATGCACTGTGTCTGTATATGGGCCAGTGCAAGTCAAGCCTGGTCTTAAATGAGCTAACACTCGGTGCCGTCACAACACTGGTAGGCTAATCCAAGAGTTCACAACTCTCACTTCAAAAAAGTTGCCCTGACCATTTTCTGAACTTGTGGCTTCTTTAACCCGAGGCTCTGACCTCTGCTAGTTCCATATATGAACACTCGACTAAGTATTTCCTCTTGAGGTGTTTGTAAACTTGTGTTAAATCACCCCTTGCCCGTCTATAGTATAAGCTAGGCAACTTGGGCGTTCTATTCCTTCCAGGTACTTGAGGTGCTGACTGCTGAAGTGCAGGCATGTCTGGTCGATCTTCTTTGGATGTTATGAATTAACTGACAGTCTCTAACATATGTCTGGGACCAAATGGGATAACAGTATTCCAGGAGTGGGAGCAACTCACTTTTCAAGAGCGTTATAAAGGACGGCCCACATAGGTATATGAATGACCTTATAATAAATTCTAATAGCTTAGTTGATTAATTTACCTTCTTCTCATAATGGTCCGAGAACTTTAGTTCTTTGTCAACATACACATCTGGATCGTTTCACATATGGTTTCAGTTATTGATGTTCTTCGTCACGTTGGGATATGTGATACGCCTCCTTACTGTTGGTACGACCTAGTTGCATCCTTTTATTCCTTAAGCCACTGTCGAAGCCGACAGAGATCTTCTGTTTAGCTCTTAATTTCCCTGAATAACTTAGCGTCGTCCATGGAAAACAAAATTCTACAAAAAGTGAAAAAAATAGTAATTTTAATTATAGGGAGAAAAATTACAAGAATTAAAGCAATAACAATAACCCATTCCTTTAAATTTCTAAAGATTCATTGGCGGCTGTTGTTGTGAGTTAATCAAACTAAAAGATAGAGCATAACTTTTATGTATTTGTCTCGTACATATCCTTTTACCTGTTTGTCCTTATAAGTGTACTTATGTGTTTACGCAACGAAGACGCTTCTATATTTTCTGTATATTTAGCGTAATCAAGATTATGTATATCTTCCATTAGTTCTACACAGTCTCAGAGACATCATCAGAAAAGATATGAATGTTTCATCCAGGTGAAAGTTAGATGATGAATATTGGCTGGGCAGGAGAAAGAACCACTAAAACGTAGGCTAATTAAGAGTAAATTGAATTAAAACTAGACAGAAGAAAAATGGCGGAGATGTAATATTTGGGAGCCACCGAACGTTTGCAAATTATTTACTTTTATCCTCTTCGCCACTGATCGGCTCGCTCGCCGCCCGGGCGATCGGTCACGTCTCTGTCACGCACTGTTGACAAATACTGAATGTACCTGAACCCGCTCCAGTGTTGGTCAAGTCTTGTCTTGAAAGAGCTCACACTCGGTGCCGTCACAACACTCTCTGGTAGATTGTTCCAAGAGTT